GGAGATCCTGATTTTGTAAAGATGACAGCCAAAAAATCTCTGTCACACATGGGGTCACCAGAAGCTGGGTTTGGTTCAATGTTAATGACATTGTTATTTTTAATGGCTATATTTGATGGGTATTCTTTAACTTTCTGTGACTGAGATTCTACTTGTGAAAATTTTATTGCCACCCAGGAACACATACGAGGGGGCTTCAAAAAGTTTATGGAAAATGCTCATCTTAACATCCCATTTTTCCACCAACTTTTTGAAGCCCATTCCCCCTTTTATACATTGACCAAAGGGAAGAATGACAATATACTGAAACACAATTTTGTTAGAGATGGTTGCAACCTAATTTCTTCACCCTATGTACATCCATGGGTAGTAGTACTCCCATCATTCCCTTTTCTGTTTGCTTTTTATCTTTAAAAAATATATTATTAATTGGGAGTTAATACATATATCACATCATTTCATAGTTCATTCACATCAAGCAGAATTGCACAATTGCTACCATGATCAGTTTCCAAACATTCTTTTTCTTCCTTGACATATCTCCCTTTTAACCCCCACCACTACTCTATATGCCTCCCCACCACCCACGAAACTTATTCTACTTGCTGTCCCTATAGGTTCATCAATCTTGGATTTCATAAACTGAAACACAGAAAAACATATAACACACCTTCATGAGGATGACCTCAAATGACATAAAACCTCTGAGATACACCCCAATATCAATAAACCAAAGCCCTCCCCAAAAAAGACCCAGCACAAACCAAAAATACAGAAAATGTTGAAAACCAGATCAAGTTAAGCATGAATCATAAGGGGGTATTAACTGACAAAGTTCTGGAGGGAGTTCACCAGAGGCTCATTTCTTATGTAGTTCCCATAGATGAATCTTGGGCTCCCACTGTCATCATAGCCTTCTGAAAACTGGATTCTCACAATTTAGCAACATCCATTTTCCTGCCAGAATTATTATGTCAGACAACCCACTCTGAAACAAGGTCTGGCTGGATTGTAATGAACTGAATCTGAATTCTCCTCTCCCTGGGGGTTGGGGCACAGTGGGGCTCCAAAAAGTTCCTGAAAAATTCCCTTTTCTTTGCATCCTATTTTCCCACCAACTCTTTTTAGATCTATCAATAGGGTGAGAGTCTTGTTTTAGTTAGTTCATTGTGCCAACCTGGCTGATAAACACATGTGGGGTTAGTTAAAGGGCGGAGGAATGAATGGCTCGGTGAGCCTCACCTTTCTAGTTCTTGGGTCTCTTGCTTTCTGATAGTTGGACCAGGGTGCAGCTGCCTTGGCCAGTTCTCTGCTTTAGCTGGCAAGGCTCACTTCCTGCAAGACATCCCTGAGGAGAAGCCACATGGACCTACCCCGATGCAGCCCTGGGTGCCGGAGCAGCCGTGTGGAGACCCCTGCCAGTGCTGAGATGTTTACACGTTCACTGACTTTGCTTTCCTCCTGCAGTCGGCATCATTGCGTCTGTTTAGTGAGATGGAGGAGGACTTTGTGGACTGGTGTTGGACATATGGGTTAATGGGTTAATGTTGGACTTGTGGGCTTCGGCAGCACTGGGTTGGGATGTTTTCTTGATGCACACTTAACCTTTATATAAAAATCTCTCTTATACATCAGTTTCTGTGGATTTGTTTCTCCAACGTACCCAGACTAACACAGGGTCCTTGTTTGCGTCCCCCGCCAACGGGTCTAAAGGAGGCCTGCCCAACAACTCCAAGAGAAGTCCTTCTGGAAAGCTGCCCCCTCATCTTCCTCCCTTGCACAGGGGCAACGGGGCCAACTGTCACCCTGGGGACATCCCCTCTGGCTTCGCCTTTGTGCTAGAATAAATTTCTTAGCATAGAGACTTCAAGGCTACCCGCTTTCAGTTGGTCCCATTAAACACTGTCCACAGGCAGGAATTTTTCAAACAACATGCCTCACACCCACACATATTTCAATAGGATATGGTTTACATTCCTCTCCATGACTGAGAGCAAGAAACTATTAGGTGGTTTTCCAACGGGTTTCAATACTGATTTGCAGTTTGGGTTATTTTACTGGATAGACATTAAATATTCTGTTTAAATATTAAACATTAAATATTTTCCTGACTATCCAGACAGATGTGAGAAAGCAGGAACAACAGGCCAAGAGAAGAAACAAGCTCAATGACCAGACTTGTAACGAACTCCTGCGCTATCTGACAAGGAAAGGGATGTCCTACATGAGTTTCAAGGATGCCTGGGAGCTGGATTCTAGACATTTACCTCTATTGGCATAAACCACTTTTTTCTACACAAGGTATACAAGTCCTACAAAGGGGGGATGACATCCCCAAACACAAAATTGACACGAACCAGAGTGGTCTCCTCTTGGGTGACTAAAGGGGCAGTGTTATACTCAGTGAGAAGTCATTAACAGATATTCCATAACAGTAGATTAAATTGTCATTTTACTTTCCCTAAGTCCTTTGCTGCACAGAAGAACTCTTCCTGAGAAATTAGAAATGTCAATCCTGGTCATCCCCAAGGGCCACTTGAGCACGGGCTAAGTGTTCAAAGAGCGAAGACCCCCTGCAAGCCAAGAGCCACCCTGTACTTTCTGTTAGCCTTCCTGTGCAATTGGTTAAGCACCAGGCCAATGGGCTATTTCAGTAAATCTCAATGTCCCTTGCCCATTATTAGTATTAAAAATACAAACCAGTAAACGCAAACAACTTGCTAATACAGGTACAACATTCCCCCACTTTCTGTGCCACCCTAGGAGTGTGCCAGGGCTGCATTTCTTTAGAATAAGGGCTGCCTCACCCACAGCCAACCTGCCTAGTTGTGCGCAGCCTTCAGAGTTAAGCGGTAGACAAGGATGACCAGCCAGGCAGGAAATAATTCAGAGGAAACCAAGGGGCAATGGCAGGCCAAGGCAAAGAAGCTTGGAAGGAAAAACCTTTCTGTGTTTTCACCGTCTGGTGACGAGATGAGCCACAATGCTGTTGGCTGTTTCATTGGCACAGCTACAGTGAACGGACAAGTAGAGTACAAGGTTCAGGGTGGCCTGTCCAACTTCCTTACAATATGCGACAGCTACTGCTCTGCTCCCCACTTCTCACCAGCGACATCTAGATGTAGTATGTATACAGAGCCGACTAGGCTGCAGCTGTCGGTGGGAGGAGGAGCCTGTTTTTTTCCATCGAGACTCATCTCCCAGTGTGGCCACAAACTTCTTATCAGGCAAATTGGAAGAAGATGGGCTTGGATTGGCCAGAGGAGACCCAGGAAAGATGTGGTCGTTTAGAGCAGGGTAGAACGTGGGTTTGGGTACACAGGAACCCAGGAAGTACTGTGGATTAGCCATTGGGCTGCTAACTGCAAGGTTGGAAGTTCAAACTATAAGGCACTCTGAGGGAGAAAAAGATAAAAATATTTCCTCCTCTAAAGAGTCTTGGAAACTCTTTATATGACCTCTAGGAGTCAGGATTGATGCGAGGCCAGTGGGTTAGGTGTTCGTTTCTTTGCCTCAGTAATCTCTTGTACAGTCTTGGACCAGTCAGTCACTTAACTTGCATACACTCAAGTTCTTCATCGGGATAATAACTCCGGGTGAACTAGAAAACCTCATGTCTTTACACTTCCAGGACTAGTGTGCTGTGGCTCAGACACAATCCTGTCCAGACTTTCTGGGAAAAGCAGCCAAGGGCTACTTAGAGTGACTCCTTTTCTGATCAGGCCATATGCAATGCACACGAGATGTGACCTTGGTGTCAGACCCTCCAGATGTGCTTGGCAGACTGCTTTCTGTTCAAGCTTTCTACAATCAGAAACTTACTTGGTTTCTGCTGTCTGGTAAAGTGCTCTAGGGTAGCGTTAAGAGCATGGGCGATAGAGTTGGAACATAGTTTGACACCCAGTTCTGCCATTTTCTAGTGTGTACTCTGGAACATGTTATTTAATCTCATCGAACCTCAATTTCTACTTCTGTAGGATGGTGATAATAGAACTTCAGTAGCTTGCGAAGATAACAGGCAAAAATAGTATAAGGCATTTAGCCCAGAAACTGGCACACTATCAGCCTTGTCTGCTCCTACTATTGGTGTGGTTATTTGGTTATTGATATGCACACAGATAAGCTGCAGGAGTCTTTCAGAATATAGCGTTCTTTCTCAGTGTGGAGTTTGAGAAAAGTTAAAGTGGATCTTTCTGGCCTAACTTAGTTTTTGAATCAGACAGATCTGGATTCAATGTCTTGACCTGCTTTTTACAGGTTATGAGATCTTAGGCAAGTTAGTTAACTTCTCTATCCCTCTTTCCTCAGCTACACAGTGCAGTCAGGTGTAGTGCCTACTGCAAGGGCAGCTGTTAGCAAGATAAGGAATATTGAGGAACTTGGCACCATACCTACCTTGCTTGGATAAGTGGTGGTTGTGGTGCTGATAGGGTCCCTGAATAGGGCAAACGGTTTGAATGTAACTGCTAATCTAAAGGGTAGTGGTTCACACTCAACAAGCAGCACTGCAGAAGAAAAGTTTGACAATCTCCTTTTGTAAAGATTACATCCAAGAAAACCCTGTCAGAATCAACTTGGGAGCAATAGACTGCTCTTGTTAATTTTGGTTTGATGGCATTAGAAATATCAGGAAGAGTAGCACCACCACTACCACTCTTGGGATCAAGGAGGGAATGCATTCCAGCTGTATATTCTTTGGCTACCTAGCCCAAGTTTTTGGAAGAGCTAGCGGTTTCTGGTTCTGAAGGAACGGCAAAGGAATTGTTGCTGGCTTCCCAGACAGTGGTTGGGAATTTAAAGTGGAATTGCTTTTGGAGGCTTGACTACAAAGTGATTCAGCAGAGTATAATTCTCAGAAAAATTCTTATTTTTGCCACTCCCCTCCCACTCAAGAAGCTTGAAGGGGGGAAAACAGTAAAATTCCAAACTAACCAATAAGGTTCCATTTTATTGGTCACTCAAGAGATTTTATGAGGAACATCTGGGTCCAGCATTTGGAAAGCTTGTCTGTTCTTCACCAAGTTTCTCTTAATTCTCAGATGGATGTCACCTACCCCTTCTTATCCCTTGATGTTCCCGCTGTTTTAAGTCTCTGGGTAGGTATGGCAGGTTGTTTGGATGGCTAGATTATAGATGTTCAGGAAAAATGAAAGTTCTCAGTACTACGATGTTAGGGTAGGTGGAGTTGTAGGGGGAGTGGAGAGGTATTATCAAATAGATTTTGGAAAATGAAATAGTAAGGATGAGTCTACAGATCCCATTTGCCACAAGATAGATATTAGATGTTCCTTTTGCCTTTCTTCTATTTATCACGTAGGTAGTCTCTTAAAAATCTAAAATGAGAAAGAAGCCAGTTACCATAAGCAAAACAAATGTACCAGGTTTCCTGTTCTTTCCCAGACCACCTCAGATAAGAAGGGTGCTTGCTGGCTGGTTCCCAAAGGGGATATTATACCCCAAATGAGGTACCCACCCCTTGCCCCAGGCCTCATATTTTATTTTGCTTTCATTTAAGGGATACTAACCACAGATACTTAAGGAGTCATCACAGGAATTGTCCAGTAACAGTCCTTCTATCTCCCAGGGATCCATTATTTTTCCTTCTATGGGATCTGAAGGTATAGAAATGACATTGAATTTTAGTTTTGGACAAAGATTTAGGGGTAGTTACTGATATCAAGAAACACTTCCTTAACAATTCTACCAAATTACCTCTCATCGTCTCTTCTTATCTCCAGAGCAGTGCCCTTTTTAGTGACCCTTCACAAGTCTAGGCCGCTCCAGGCAATGATTTCAAGTTAAGGCTCCAGGTTAGCCAGAAGAGCTGAGACAACATTGTAATATTAACAACTAATGTTGTTGGAGACTGGGGTCCCCAAGAACACTGAGAGAGAGAAGCTAGTCACAACCATGAACCTTCAAAACATTACAGAATTTTAAATGCTTTGATGCCCTGATAGTGCTGCGAGAAATGATATTTGATGGGGTGGTGAAGAAAGCAGATGATGCCCAGGTATCCATTGAAATCGTGTCTGGGGTCTTAAAGGCTTGTAGTCAAACAAGTAGCTACATAAGTGAGCCATCAACTAAGTCCACATGGAAGAAGCCTGTGTGATCCAAAGATGACCCAAAAATCCAAATATGATGAAGGGAAGAGTAGCAGAGCTTAAATTTTTAACACCTCCCCCTCCTTTTTTGTCTTGTAGGCGGCTATGGAGGACAGTGTGAACCCAAACCCATCTGCAGAGTATCTTGTCAGATTAAGCCTCTGGCAGATCTCCTGTAGCCACAGGCAAGGGACTCAAACAGTTTTACTCTCAGACAGATGATTGTAAACTTGATTATGGTGGATCGAACCATGGTATCATATGAACCTTGGTTAGTTGACCTCCCTCTTGACCCAACCTGAATTTTCTCTAAGCTTAAACATTTCTCACATGTTCCAAGACAGAAATTTCTTCTCTGGCTTTTTAAATATTGGTGGTGGTCTTTTCTTTCTTACTCTTTATTTGTATTATCTTTATACTATTATACTTTTCTTCTTGCCATTTTGTTTTGTTTTTCATTGTTTCTGTTGGGTTTCCCAGTTTATGAAGCACAGAAGGAGTGGATGCACAGAGACAATAACTGATGCAGTGGTTTATCAGGGATGTGGAAGGGTGGCAGGGGGCTGGGGAGGGAAGGGTATTTGGGGAGCAAGCAATGGTTGCAGGAGGAGGGAGCACAAGAACTGATTGTGATGATGTATATACAACTGTTTAAAAAAATAATTTAACCATGGAAGTGTATGATATGTGAATACTATGTCAAGGAAACTACTAACAACAACAACAACAAAAACCAAACTTAACCAATGGCTACCATGGGTGAAAGAGAAAGAGTTGTTGATTACGGGTTTATGTTACTGATGGTGCAATAATTTGGAAAGGGATACCAATAATGGTTGTACAACATGAAGAGTATAATCAATGACACTGAATTATACATGTAGAAGTTGTGGAATTGGAGACTATTTTGTTTTGTATATATTTGCCACAATTTGAAAAAAATTACATGAACAACAATGAGTACAAGAAGCAAATGTTCTAGAGTTGCATATGGTGATAATTGTGCAACTCTTCTTGATGATTGAATTGTATTATGTGAATATGAAGTACTAATAAGACTGTTTAAATAATAAATGATATATGCTTATTATAAAAGATAAGTTTTTCCAGTAATGCATAAAAATCCAAAGAAAAGCGTCTAGGTCAGCAGTTCTCAACCTGTGGGTCGCAACCCTTTGGGGGTTGAACAACCCTTTCACAGTGGTCGCCTGATTCATAACAGTAGCAAAATTACAGTTATGAAGTAGCAACAAAAATAATTTATGGTTGGCGGGTCACTACAACATGAGAAACTGTATTAAAGGGTGGTGGCATTAGGAAGGTTGAGAACCACTGATCTAGGTCTTTCATTTCTCAAGATCACCTAATATCTCACCCCAGAGAAAACGACTGCTAAAATTTGGGTGCCATTCCTCTAGATATTCCTGTGTAGCTACCTAATTTGCTATCTTGCCTAACAATATATCAGGTTGTGGGTGACTTTCCATGTCAGTAAATATAAGTTTTATACCTCTTGTATGTTTGCATAGTAGTCTACTGCGTGGATACACCCTCGTTTATGTAACCATTCACCATTGCTGGGCATTTAGCTTGTTTCCAAGTTTTAGCCATTGTACACAATGCTGTCATTGCACACCTGTGAGTGAGCATACATTCTTTCTATTTATGGACTTCTCTTAAGATACTGTTCAAGGAATGAAATTGCTGGCTCAAAGGGTATCTACATCTTAAAATTCTTGAGATTATATCTGTAACACAAATATAGATACACAAATGAATTGCTTCAAAAGTTTGTGGAAAAATACCAGTATCTTCTCATTCCATTTTCCATGAACTTTTGGAAGCCTCCTTGTACAAACACAAATACACCCTCACATGAAGGGGCTTCCAAAAGTTCATAGAAAAATAGAATGGAATGATAATAGAATTTTCCCACAAACATTGACCTGTCCTCGTGTATGCATGTGTGTGTGCGTCTTTGAAAAATTCCATAGAAAAATGCTATTATTAACTGGACATCCCCCTACTGAAGGGTCGTGGGGAGGACATGAGCCAGTCAGGGTGCAGTGTAGCAACGATGAAACATACAACTTTCCTCTAGTTTCTTTTTTTTTTTTTTTTTTTTTTTTTTTTTTTATTATTTTTTTTTTTCCTCTAGTTTCTAAATGCTTCCTCCCCCCTACTATCATGATCTCAATTCTACCTTACAAATAGGCTGGACCAGAGCATGTACATGGATACAGATAGGAACTGGAAACACAGGGAATCCAGGACAGATGAACCCCTCAGTACCAGTGGTGAGAGTGGCAATACTGGGAGGGTGGAGGAAAGGTGGGGTATAAAGGGGGAACCAATCACAAGGATCTACATATAGCCCCCTCCCTGTGGGACAGACAACAGAAAAGTGGGTGAAGGGAGACGTCGGACCGTGTAAGACATGACAAAATAAAAATAATTAATAATTATCATGGGTTCATGAGGGAGGGGGGAGAGGGAAGGGAAAAATGAGGAGCTGATACCAAAGGCTCAAGTAGAAAGCAAATGTTTTGAGAATGATGATGGCAACAAATGTACTAATGTGCTTGACACAATGGATGGTTGTATGGATTGTGATAAGAGTTGTATGAGCCTCCGATAAAATGATTTAAAAAAAAAAAAGAGCTTACACTCTTGGAAACTAACAAGGGCGATTCTACCCTGTCCTATAGGGTCACTAGGAGTTGGCCTTGATTCAACTGAAGTACGTTATAAGGCAAACAATAGCACTAGTGGGGTACGGTCATCTTAGAATTTGAGCCATTTGAGATCAAAAGAACATAGTTCATAGAGGTGGAGGAATGAAAACAGAAAACATAGGTATGACATGGAATGAAGATTTTACACTAAGGGAATTGCCAAGAATGAGATGAAACAAAATGTGTATGAATTGTTAAATGTAAAACTGATGATCTGCTCTGTAAACCTTCACCCAATTCACAATAAAGTGTTTTAAAAAGAGAGATTTTTAAAAGATATCTATTTTTTCTAAAAATGTATGCAAGACTAAACAATTAAATTCATGATAAAACCTTAAAGGCATAAAAAAGAAGAACGATGCAATTACTTTAAAATTCCATTTATCCTTGAACTTTTGGAAGCCCCTTTATACACACACACATAGGAGGGGCTTCCAAAAATTCTAGGACAAATGGATTAATAGAAAATTTCTATTACCTATTCCACTTGTCCATATGAACTTTTGGAAGCACCTTCATATCGTAAGGGGACAGGAAGGAGGAGGAAGAGATTGAGCCAGTGTGCACGTGAGAATGATACAGGCAAACTCCCTTCTGTAAAGTTGTACCAATTTGTACTTCCACTATTGGCGATCCTAACCGTTAACATAACCCTAGGGCCATCTTGTACTGCACTCAATACAGGGAGTACTGCTGGACTACCAGAAGGCTGCCGCCAAGCACTCTCTCTGTGCTTATTCCATGTCTTCCAAACCCCCAGCCCTAGCATAACAGTTTCAGACTCAAAATAGGACTAATTTAGAAATTGTGACTAGTCACTAGTCCAGCATTACCTTCAAAAAGATAGTCATCAATGTATGCAGCTGGAATACAGTTATCCTTTTGACTACAGTGGAGCCCAGTAGCATTCTGATCTTTACTTCCCACAGAACATTCTTCTTCCTCCACCGGTTCATCTAAAGCAAATGTTACTGATATATTCTTTTTAGGCCTTATTCTTAAACCTTCTTTCTGTATAACAAGAAGATAAGGGAAAGGATGTCAATTGATGCCTAAGAGTTCCAGACTGGTTTCTTGGAGCAATAACACTCAAACAACCATTTACCTGTAGAATTGGCTTTAGAGGCTTAACTTCCCCTGAATGGTGTGAAAAATCCAGTCTTTTATTTTTGGATACTTTCAGCCTGGTATAGAATCTGAGGAAGGAACAAAAGGAGAAAGCAGTAATAGAAACAGATGTACAATCAAAGGCAGTTATTAGCTCCTCCCTACCTAAGGAGCCCTGGTGGCTGCTACTTGGCAAGATGAGCAGTTTAAACCCACCCGTCACTGTGAGGGAGGGAGATGAGCCTTTTTGCTTCCATAAAGATTTACAATCTCAGAAACCTTAACCTTTCAGAGAAGTTCTGCTCCAGCTGATAAGGTTGCCGTGAGTCAGAGCCAACTTCCCAGTACACGTCTTTAACAACAGAGCAAGAAGGTACTCATCTTTTCATGCCTCGAAGCCTGGAGCACTATGTATACATATATATATGCTCTTTTTAGCATCCCTCTCTTTTCCCATCATTCCTCTTTAGGAATATCAAAGACTTTGAAGTTAAAACCGTGTCGTTTGTTCATAGAATAATGGCAGTAAGCTCTTTAATGGGTTCGTGTGCCATTTCTCTCCCACATGGCAAATAAAAGCTATGATTTGGAGCTCTACTGCTGATAGGTTGGTTTTACTTTTATACTACTCATCACACTAACATGACTGCTGAAGGTGTGTGTGTGTGTGTGTGTGTGTGTGTGTGTGTGTGTGTGTGTGTTGGGGTGTAGTTAACAATATTCGTCACTTCCCTGGCTTCATTTGGCCCACCTGATTTTGAGAGACTAGTTTGATGCTGCATGGAATCCAAACACTTTCTAAAATTTCCTGCCTCATGTTGAAGATTAACTTTTGTTCTGTATTCTTATCTGTAAACCCAATAAAGGCTGTTCAGTAGCTCACTACCTGCTAAAATAGCGTCTTCCTGTAAGCCTTCTGAAGCCTTTGCAAATTCGGTTGCTTAAGGTAGATGATATTCCCACTTCATATTGTTGTTGGCGAGTACACAGTTCTTCATATTTATCCCCGATGGTAGCTAACAACCAGCGCACCCCTTCAATGATGGATTGATGGTAAGCAGTTTGGAAGTTTATGATTGCTGAACAAGATTCCTGTGAAAAAAGAAGATCTCAACTTTGGAGCATGGGACCCATAGACTCCCATGCACTCATTCAGAGAACAGAAGTTTTCAACAGCTACACCACTCAGCACTAGGACACTCAACATCGACTTCTTACAAGCTTAATGAAATTTTCAGAATCTACGATCCTTTATTAAATAGTAAAATGTACTGGATTCATATCCCTGGGCTTAGATTTAAAAGTCACTGAGACTTATCTCTCTTATCTATAAAATGGAGATATTAAAACATTCAGCTTTACAGAGCGATTTTGAAGGCGTAATGAAAAAACATGTGAAAGTGTTAGGAGAATGGGATGATTTTTATGATCCCCAAATCAGAAATCATTATTATAGATAAGTGGTTCTCAACCTTCCTCATGCCGCGACCCTTTGATACAGTTCCTCATGTTGTAGTGAACCCCCAACCATAAAATTATTTTCATTGCTACCTCATAACTGTAATTTTGCTGCTGTTATGAATTGGGCAACCCCCGTGAAAGCATCGTTCGACCCTCAAAGGGGTCACGACCCACAGGTTGAGTACCACTGCTATATATGTTCTATAGCAGCAAGAGACTTTGCTCCAAATTCATTACATGAGGCTGATCATGGAATGGGCCAAGGGACACATCAGCTAGACTCTAGATGGAAAAGAGAGGTAGGAGCTGATACTTACCACTCGGCACATGGATTTAGTCTCTTTTACTAGCCTTTCCAAGAGTAGATGCTTGGCAATATCCTCAGTCAGGAGGGCACCTGTCTTGTCTTGTTTATTTGCCAGGCTAGAACAGGGCATAGGAGAGAGGGACAAAGAGAGAAGAGTGAAACAGAAATCGAGACAAAGAGCAAGGAGAGACGATAAAGAGAAATAGAACCATCCTGGCACAGCTGGTATCTATCCATTGAGACCTGCCAGGGATTTTTCTAGCCAACTCTCGACGGAAGGAAGAGATAACACACATCATATGAATCCAAGACAACTCCCAGGCCTCATTTATCACTTATACATTATGCCATTAAATGTTAATAACAATTGTAAAGTGGGATATGAACCCATTTAGAGATTTCATAGCTTCTCCCTAACTCCACTCCTGCTCTAGTGGGACATGCTAATAAAGGACCAAGCAAAAGGGGGGTGAGAGAGGGGTGATGATTGACTAGTGCCTTGAATTATTACCCTGGATTAAATGTTAGGCAACTCTTGGGCAACCTGCTAAAGTAGGGAGCCACTGTCACAGATTAGGTAAAGTAGGGCTTATTCTCTGCTACCGGAAGAGCTCTGCATTAGAAATGGAAACCAGGCAAGGTGTGAAGCAACTTTCACATGGCATTCTTCAAGCAGAATCAGGCATGGAGGGTGGTAAATCCAGATAATACTATCCATTTTCCTTTTATGTCTGCCTTCTAAATTACCTTTATACAATTAGGTCGATCCATGGGTGGTGTCAATGATGTGTGCTCAAATGCTGACCTAAAAAGGAGCCCTGGTGGCAAACCGGTTTACACATTGGGCTGCTAACTGAAGGTCAACAGTTCAAACCCACCAGCCATTCCTCAGGAGAAAGCTGAAGCAATATACTCTGGTAAGGATTTATGGTCTTAGAGACCCTTAGGGACTAGCTTTATTCTGTCCTTTGGGGTTGCTGAGAGTTAGAATCAACTCAATAACGGTAGGCGACTGAACCTAAATATTGGCAGTTTGAACCAACTCAGTGGTGCCACAGAAGAAAGACTTGGTGATCCACTGCTCCTGATAGATCAACTCTTGAAAACCCTAGAGTACAGACCTACTCTTTGGCGCATGGTGTTGCCACGGGTTGAAATCTAATGGCAAAAGACACCTCAGTTAGCTAACATGTCTTTCATGGCAGTGTGTGCTAGAAAGTGGCTTTTGAAAACAGCTCCCCACAGGACAATCCACATCACCAATAAGGAAAGAGGAGCTCTAACTGGCCTTGACAAAGGAAATATTACACCCTGCATCCTATATAGGTGTTTTCGTAAGGCACAAAACAGGAAGGGGAATTGGGCCCCAAAGTAGAATCTTACAGTAAGATGGGTTTTCCTGCTACTCTAGGATCGGACAGAACACTTGGTAAGATAATTTTCACTTCATGCATGCGTTCTAAGTCACTGGAGTCTAGCACAAAAACAATCCCATGTGCCTGCGCGTAGTAGTTTGGCCATAATTCTCGGCTCTTCGGGTCTCCATTCAGGTCATAGACGTAAACATTGCAGTCGTTTAATAGCAGAGTTGTCAGGTCAGATTGCATATATTTTTCCATTCTTGTGGGAAGCACTGTGAAGTAGAAAGAGAAGCAACCACTAAGTACAGAAGTAGAACGAGACCTAAGAATTTGTTAAACAGTTTGCTAAATCTTAACTAGAGCCCCTGTCTTGAAACTTCCTGGTCCAGAAAGTTTCAGTGACTGCCCACTGCTCTCAGGATAGGAGCAGGCTCCCTTGTCTTCTAACCTGGCAGGCCTATCTACTAGCCCTCTAACCAGATTAATATCTTCATTGTCTCTTCCTCCTCCTGCTTCTTTGTTCATCCTCCTCTCCTCCCCAACTCCACATGAAGACTATGGTCGCAGGACCCACACAAGATGGTATTCCCTCTGTTTAGAACACACTTTCACTACTATCTTCCTGGTTAGTGCCATTTGGGGGAGAGGGTGGGTGGGTGGGTATATCAATTTAAATTTTGTTCCTTCTCAAAAGCCTTTCCTTAACCTGTACCATCTTCCAGTCTGGATAGAGTGTCTTTCTTATAACTTTATCACTAAGTTTACATTATTATAAAGTATATGATTTATTTCTCTGGATTATAAATGGATTGGATCCTTTCAATTTTATTAACCATTAAATTCATGATACCCAGCATGCTAGCTGTCACATAGGTGCTCAATAAATATTTGTTGAATAAATCTGATTGAATGAATGAACAAATAAGCAAGAGACCCTTGTCTCCTACCCTATCTTCAGGAAGCCTTATCTGACTTGCTAGGCTCTTATGTTTCTCTCTCTCACTGAACCCATGGTCTCTAGAACTGGTCCTTCGCCTCTTTCTGTGCTTACTCTATCTCCCCATAGAAAAGATGAGCTCCTCGAGGGAGGGAAAGGCAGATGTTTACCAAATACTGATGGCTACGGGTACGGGGGATACAGATATGATATCTTCTCCCTCAGAGCATTTCCAAGAATTCATACATGATTCACACACATTTCACCTTTAAAAACTGTGGCCAGAGCATAAAATCTCATAGGGAATTCTATACCTCACTCAGCTACCATAGACATGCAGTTCAAAATGTCAGCCTTTATAGACATTCTAGTCAGTTTAACTGACAGTTCTGGCCTACTTCTCTGCCCTTATCTATAGCAAAATGACTGTACAGATTTTCTACACCCATACCTGAGAGTTTCAAGTCCAGAATCAGTAATGTCTTATTGATAGGCTCAAATCAGTCTGTAATCGTTTTCATAAAATTGCTAGAATGAGTCAGTTAGCTGGGAAGTCACTAACGTGTTGTAAGATCTTTGGAAATATAGGATTAATTATACATACACTTATGTGTGTACACATACATCTATATATGTGTATATTATTATGCTTTAATGTGTTTTATGACTTCTGTTTACATGTTAGTCACGATCTATTTAATTATAGCTTTCAGATAACATATGATTTCATTTTTACTACATCTGTATTAGACTACTTAAAAATAAGTAAATAGGTTAAAACTCTAAATGAAAATTCAAAATCCTTTTCCCTGCACTGTGACAAGCGTTATATTATGTTTTCCTTGTTGGGAAAAACAATTTTTCTAAGGTGTTGCTTTGATTTTTGTGTTTTTAACGAGACCTTAGCACTTCTCTCACTGATGCCACGAGAAGCTGGCCCCTAATGATTGCATTTCTCTTTTTCCACTATTAATTTATAAATGCCTTAAGGACAGGTAAGGCCCCTGGGTGGCAAAAAAGCCCCTTTTTTCCCCAGCTACTAACAGAAAGGTTGGCTGTTTGAACCCACCCAACTGTGCTACAGAAGAAAGGCCTGGAGATCTTCTTTAATATAACCATTGAAAACCCTACAGAGCAGTTTCACACTGAAACATGGGGTCACCATGAGTTGGCCTCAACTGAATGGTAACAGATGGAGGACACATATTGAATCCCTGTCTCTGTATCCCTAGTGATGTGTTTCTTAAAGCACGGTCTGGAGAACAGCTGCTTCAGAACTACACGGGGGTGATTATTAGGTCCCACCCTAGACCAAATGCGTCAGAATCTCCAGGCTTGGAACCCAAGCATGTATATGTTAACCCAAGTTCCCCAGGTGATTCCTCTGCACTTTAAGATGGAGAACCACTGCCTAGAAAGCAATGAGACTCACACCTAATTGCGCCTCAGCAACATCATCTGGTGAGCTTGGGGAGCCACAGGTTCTCTGGGGCCTCCCCTAGACCAATATATTTGACCCTACACGTCCTGGGCCAGAAGTTTAGAAAGCTTCCCAGGGGATTCTGATCATTTGTTCTCAATACTCACTGGGTGCTAGGAGCATCTATGGCACTGAAAAATTATACACGCTAGTCCTCATTCTCTGAGGGTTTGACTCCAGAGTTTGATGTGGGGGGAGGCTTAAGCATCATGTTTTTAATAAAAGCTTCCCAGGTGACAAAAATGTCTAGTTAGGCACGAATGACACTAGACTAAAGGTCATGGAGGGGATCTGTTTGTGCTCACACTTGGGTTGCTTGTCCCACGTGACCATGCTGGACAAAACAGTTATAATAAATGATTCATTAATAGTACCCCCAAACAAGTATCAACCTCACTGCCATTGAGTAGATGCCAACTCATAACGAACCCTCTGTGGGTTTCCAGAACTGTAACAACTATTTGCGGGAGTAGAAACTCTAGCACCATCAAATTGTCACATAAGCAACTACTCGAAGCCTGAGATTTCCCTTTCAGGCAATTAATTATCTATTCTTGGTAATCATCTCATCATTGTTTTCAAGAGCAAGTGGGGGGTGACCTGGTGTATTCGGGGCCCATAGCCACCTGCTAGAGTGACTCTGGTGGTCCTGTGTGGACGATGATGACCTGAAAGATTCTTCAGAATGTAGCATACCATGATACCTCGCTTCTTGGCCATGCAACGCTTTTCTGGGAGTGAAGATACAACCATAAACTGAGACATTTATGAACTGCCCCTGAGTTCATCACTGAGCACAAAGCAAGCCATAAGTTGACAACATGAATAAATTAGACTCCAGGCCCTGTCCTTTAGGGGTTAGAATGGAAAGCAGACGATGTTGTCACAGACAAAACAGCATACAGCTCGTGCTAGGTGAGTGCTTCCCAAGCCTGACAGGCCATCAGAAACAACTTGGGCACTTGTTAAATATAGATGTCCATGCCCCACCCAGACTGAATGGGACTGAGTTGGGGCTCTGGGAAATTCTCTCCTGATTTAGCAGTAATCCTGTGATTTATCCAGAAGCCTTGATTTTCCTGCTACTGAGTACTTCTATTTTCTTCCTGCCATTTTCTACTAAATTCTATCAGAGATGGAGGAGTCATATTTGCTGCCTATACTCTAGGACACTGGGCTGGACCATTGCCTAAAAGCGTGGTGTTTGGAGCTACTACTAGTGGGGGGGGAGGAAATGAGAAGACAACATGTAACCCTAGGGGAAATGTGGGAATTAGAGTACCTTCCTTAGGGTACAGAAAGTGAAAGGGCTAAAACCACCCTCAAGAGGGTGACTCCAGAGTCTAGGAGAAGAGTCTGCAACTGAACAATGATGATGTGATCATTACCATGATAGGGAGATACACAGGGAGCGTAGAAGGGCTGAGAAAAGAAGCTTTGAGAGAGAGGAATATATTTTCCTGATGTCAAGCCAGAGCTGGACTCTGAGGTAGTGTTTGGTGAAGCAGGTAGTTAATGGAGGCAGTGGTTTTGCTAGGCAGCGGGAACAGGATATGAGAAAGCATGGGCAGGTGAACGAGGACAGTGTGATGGCCGAGGAATAGCAAATGATCTGTGCTATCTCTGTCACAGACCGTATGCAGACAGCATGGGCAATGCAGCTCAAAAAGGAGTCAGGCCAGGCTTGGCACATGACGCTAAGAAAGTTTTATTTTGAAAGTAATCAGAAGGCCTTGAAATGGTTTGCGGCAGGGAAGTGTAATAACCAGATTATTGCATTACGTCCTTCTGGCAACAGTGTAGGCTGCATATTGGTGGGACAACTTGGTGCCGGTGAAATTAGCCAGAAGTCTGTTGCTAAATATAGCTCAAGGGCTTCTAGCAGGCCAGTGACAGAGGAGGTAAGTTAGCCTTTGCTTGTACATTCCTGTGGACTGCTAGGTTATAGAAAATTCACCCACATCATAATATGCCCTCATGTATTTAATAAACATCTGTGGAGTACCAAAAGAGGCCTGGTGATGCCACAGTTAAGCAGTTGGGTGCTACCTGAAAGGCTGGCAGTTTGAATCCACCAGTGGCTCCATAGATTACAAACTAGAAGAGCAGTTCTCAACCGGTGGGTCACGGACCCTTTGGGAGTCGAACGACCCTTTCACAGGGGTCGCCCGATTCATAGCAGTAACGAAATGACAGTTATGAAGTAGCAACGAAAATAATTTTATGCTTGGGGGCAGGGGTCACCACAACGTGAAGAATTGTATTAAAGGGCCACTGCATTAGGAAGGTTGAGAACCACTGGCCTAGAAAACTCGGTGGGGGCAGTTATTTGTCATATTGGGTCGCTATGAGTCAGTACTAACTCCATGGCACCTAACAACAATACAAGTGCTTGCTATGTCAGGCCCTTCCTTTGGCGGGCTCTTTAGCTAGTGGTTAGCTGTAGCTTCACAACTACTACAGAATCTTCATGAGCTGCTGTGTCACTTTTTCTTGAATGTCAAAGCATTAAGCAGGAGATAAAATGCATTTCTCCGAACTGACAGTATTCCTCAAGCTCCAACCCTCTATATTAGCTGTCACAGAGAGTTTCATATTATTAAACTTCTTTATCATCCCACACTTGTCTTTCTTATCTACATCACATACCACTTTAATTGAGTTCAGAAAGCAGACACCATTTCACACGTGTGTTGCTTCAACATTGACTGCTGTAATGCTTCACCTAGTTTCAGCTTATGCACAGTGTCACTATGAGAGGACCTTTAATGAGGACATCATATAAAGGAAGCAGGTGACAGACGAAATCTCACAGCATCCGCAACCTGATAACACCCAACTAGGGAGTGTGTGTG